AAAAAAGGGTAGGACGTGGCTCTGTGGAAGAGTACCTCTGGGTTCAATCCTGCTAAAAAGAACATCATGTGAAGATTGTATTTTTACAATATCTCTTAATTTTATGGTGGAAAAAGCACCAATTTCTGAAAGAAAAAAAAAATGCTCCTTTGTTGGTCAAATTTGAGTAGTGGTTTTAACTTCTTTGTCTTAAAGCTTTTTTGAATCATTCTGTCCCCACTCTCTCATGAGTGGGGGTAATGAGGGCCCTGAAATAACTAAAAATATAAAGAATGGAGAAATTAGAAGCTGCTAGATTATCATATTATTGAATATTAATATTTTTCCTTCTTCTTCCTTCTTTTTTTTTGCAGTACTGTAGTTGACATCAGGTCTCATACAGCTAGTGCTGAATCCCCAGACCTTTTTATTTAGAGACAGGGTCTTGGTAAATTGCCCAGGCTAGCTTCAAACTTGAGATCCTCCTGCTCCAGCCTCCCTGGTAGTTGGGATTGAGCGGGTTGTGTCACCACATACATCTTAAATTTGGTAATCAGTGTTCTACTTTGGATTTTCCACAGGGGGGAAAAATCTATCTCATCTACCAAAATCTAAAGAAAATTTGTAGTCAGGTCATTTACCTCCTCTGGGATGAATAGTCTCCCATTTATATAAGCTGTGTTGTGAAGTTCAAGGACAACTAGAAATTAGAATCTTGACCCTGCATCCAAAAGTCATATAAATGGTGAAACAAGGGTTCCAGATGTTTCAACAACTACAAGATAGGTTTCAGTAATATTATATAATACTTCTGACACATTGTCTAGGGAGGCTGAAGCAGAATAACAAGTTCAAGGTCAGCCTTGGCAATTTAGTGAGATGTTGCCTCACAGTAAAAATTTCAAAAGGGAGGGCTCTGGGTATGTAGCTCACCTAGAGTATTTTTGCAAAGTAAGGGCAAGTCCCTGGGTTCAATCCCCAGTACCTGGCCCCACCCCCACAATTTACATAGTAATGGAGGGATGTATTACCAATCTAAAATGAAGAAAGATTACTGATGAAAACACCCACATTTATTTTGATAGGGGATTAAACCCAAGGTCCTTTCACAATTGAGCTACTTCCCCAATTCCTTCCTTTTAAAATTTCAAGACAGGGGTTCTCACTGAGATTCCAAAAAGTTGGCCTTCAACTTGCAATCCTCCTGCCTCAGCCTCCCCAGTCACTGAGATAAGTGATATGCACCACCATAACCATACTTTTTCCCCCACTTTCAGGGTACCGGGGACTGAACTCAGGGGCACTTACCATTGAGCTAAATTCCTAGTCCTTTTATTTCTTAATGTGAATTTTTAGACAGGGTGTCACTAAGTCATAGCAATAAATGAACAATAGCTAGGAAGAAGGGTATCAGAAACTGGATGCATTTCTCTGACTTCTGACCCCTTGTTCATCAGGTCAGGCAATACCAATGGAGATAGTGATTAAGGAGGTAAACAATGGGCTTCACCAGTTGTATAAGGGACCCTGCCATGCCTTAACCCTTCTCCATCAGCAAGACCTACCATACAATTTACCATATAGTAACTTCAATTATAATCCACAGAAGACTGGTTTTCTGTAATAGGATATTGTCTTACAAGTGTTTGTAGCCAGGTGTGGTGTATATACCTGTAATGCCAGTGATTTAGGAAGCTGAGACAGGAGGATTCCAAGTTCAAAGCCAGTCTCAGCAAAATCGAGGTGCTAAATAAAAATA